CGTTTGAGAATGTATCAAGTCCACTGTCAGATGCTGGGAATCATGACAACTACTATGACAGACGATTTCGAACTAGGTGCGTTCGACATGGTTTCCCCGAAATCAAGACCAAGTTGCGACAACGAGTCAACCCACTTTCATCTATAAGTTTGCTTTATTGACAATCCGAACACAGAATGTGATATGGAAAAGGTCTTACATTTCTTGAAATTCGCATCTACGTTGTTAACAAACGGCCCTCGAGGAAATATGGCGTAGTGGCTAACATATCGAGTTTATATGCTGCTCTGTCATTCTGCGTCTTCCGCTTGGGGTATTGCTAAGACCTATGTGAGGTCGAAACGGCAGTCCAGCCTGGTTGAGAACACCTTTTCAGAAAGCAATGCTATGTGAAAATCAATGGAATCGTCAGCTCTATTTATTTCATTTATGGAAAAATCAACTAACAGTCTTTCATCATTTTAAGCCAAATAAGGTTAATACCACTCATATATTTTATTTACTGGTACTATTAAAAACCTCATCTCCGAGATAAAATAATTTATTGACCCTTAATTCGTTATTAAAATTACTTTTTATTTCTGATTGCTATTATCTTTAAGGTTAAGAATAATTAGGGTCATGAAGAACTGTGGTTGAATTTAACGATAATAATATATAATCTTTTACGTTGAATTTCACGTAGCCTTGTTTTTTCAAAAAAAATTCCCATCCAGAGTAGGCTGTAGTTTCTATCTTGCCTAGGTCGCATTAGCACCACCAATGGGAATCAAACCATGGATGTATAGTCTGTAATTTTGCCACGTTAAACTTTGCTCCACATTGCTACTAGTATACCTTAGTCACAGGGTCAATGTGAATTGCAATGGGGGCAAAAATTTTCCCATATATTATATAGCAAGATTGTCGATCATGCACAGTTGTGCTTGCTATACAATTGTTTACTTATTTTTATTTTAAAGTTATGATGGACTGATAGTCGAATTTTCCAACATCTATATGAAAACACATGACATTTCAAAGAGTGTTGCTAAATCCTATATCAAATACAACTTTGCTTGATCATAATATCACTGTAAAATGTAATATGAGAAATTGCTTGGCCTTCCCTAAAAGTCACATTGGTCCTGTGATCCAAGTTAACTCACAGCAATGTGGCGTAGTCGTTAATGTATCGAAATTATCTGTGGAACTGTCATGGATTGACTTTTGCTGAGGGTGTTAATGCGGCATAGGCGATGTTGAAATTTTATTAATCCTTGGATGAGTATAAATCTGTGGAAGCAAGGCTATTCGAAATTTCATGAAAATATGGAGTGCACTAGCGGTCTTTCCTCTTATGCGAAATTTTGTGAACGCATTTATGTATATTATTTACTAGTAGTTTCGACAGCAAACGAAAAATTATTGTTTATTATCTGCAAACTTTTTTGAATATTGTCTCACTGCATAGTTTATCTCTTTACCCACTTTTCATGACTATTCTATTAACAACTGCCAAATATGCTTTAGATAATATAAGTCACAGCTTAAAGAGAGTCGCTCTTAGCTGCACATATAGATTTGAAATTAAAAAAACAAACAAAATCCTTATTTAACATCCGAACAAGAATCTTTACACTAATTTGAAATATATCATTCTAGTTTCGCTTGCTACGTTTTTTCTTCTTGTTGGCAATACTAGATATATGTATATTTTATGTTTTCTATATTTCACTTTTCATTCAGATTTGGACGACGGTGCAGACCTTATGTTAGTGGATGATTTTTTGCTGAGCATCGCCGACCTAAGTTCCGACGCACCACCAGATGGAGAAAGGGGTGCTTTTGCTGAACCCGGTATTACCTCAATATCGGAAAATAGCGACGCTGACCATAGCCAACCTATTAGGCCAGAGGTAGATCAACATGAGCCATATTATCATCAGCGCCAACATCTGCCTCAAAATGCACAGTTCCATCAACATCATCTCCAGAAAAACCAATTAAATCAGCCGATTTCATGTTCTGAACCGGCTCTTAGAGATAACTCAGAATCGTCTAACCAGACATCTGTATTTCTCGATGGTTCTGATATTTCAAAACATAGTTGTGCAGAAGCAGATCTGCCCGCGATCCAACAGAACTATCTCCAGCAGCCTCATAAACAGCCACAACAGACTCATCACCATCAACCAACCCAACAACAACATAGTCATCTTTTGCAGCATCACGAACAATCCCAGCCTATTCAGAGTCAGTGTCATGGCCAGCATACAGGGAATGTCGCCTTTCAACCGAAAGCTGATCAACCGGTTCTGCATGCTTCTCCACTTCATTCTGGACAGCTCAGTCTGGATGGGACTTTGGAAACAGGAAGACAGTCTTGGCAATCGAATTTGCCATTATCCGGAAGTCATCAAATGGTAATTATTTAAATTATCAAGCTATTTTACTAAATTTGATCATCGATTAATCATAGAGATTTAAAAAAGCCATTCTGGTGAATTTAAAAGCAATGTAGATACGGTTAATAATTGGGCTTTGATGAATCTTCTGCGATAATATTGACATGAAGACTTTAATTTCGTATATAAGTCTATTATAAAGATATTCGAAGGTTAATCTCTCCTTAGGACGAGGTTTAAATTCCATTGTACTGCAACTACCTGGTTATTCTATCCATGGCCTTTTAAACCGTCAACTATATCGCGTAAGTTAAGGAAATCCACGATAGTAAATACCTGAGTAAGGGATTACCTAGGCTTGGTTTTTATATTGATAGGTTAGTGAATCCTGCTAATGCTTTCCTAGAGCGTTGTTTTAACGAAACCACACGATACCTAATCAAGATCCCTATTGTAGACGTCGGTTGACCAAAAAGTCTACCGAGTAAATAACTTCTATGAATAACATTTAGATTAAGCTCATCAACGAAACCAAACGTAAGAGATTACTCATTCCATGTCATTCCTTCTCTCAGTCATTCAACTCTAGACGAACAGGTTATGACAAAGAACTTTGTTAGCTGATTTACTCATAAAAATCTACTTTGATTGCTTCAATCGGGAATGCTTCCGGAATTACGCAGTTTTGGTCGTTGTTGTGGAACAGTGGTATTCATAGCTAGATCAAGTAATGTAGAAAAAATGCAAGTTCATTTAAATGATACTTACATATATGCCTTAACTTGATTTAATTAAGTTAACAATGGAATTGGATGAGAATAATTCTTTATTCGACGACATTAAGAACAGGATGATGTAGCCTTTTGTGTTGTCGCAGTCTCCTTTCGTTGTATAGTAGTTGTTTGACCTTGTTTTCGCAAATTGGTCATAATGGTCGGAAGACTTATAGAGGCGCATCTTGTCATGAGTTCATTGTATGCATGATTATTTCCAAAGTTGGACCGTGGGAGTGGTACATTCTAAGACGTTTTGCTGGCATCGTCAGTAAGTCTCGACATTCTTAGCACACTACAACTCGTCAAAAAGACAGATGAAGTCGATCCTTTGACCAACTGTGTGCTAAACAGGTGTATTATCTCTTCTGTTCTGGGCTATTCACCTATCATTTATCTTCGTATCACCTCCTTAATATCACAATTTCTTACTTTCTTATCTAACACTATATGAAACCTATTCATAATCCCCGCTGCTTTCCACATCCCTCCCACTGTTCCGGGAGTGTTGATCCAAAGCTGCGGTATAATCCGCAGTCCTCCCGATCCGGGTCCTATCATAGTCCCCTCTTGCTTCGTAGGTTCCTTGCCTTTTATGCCTTTCTCAGTGATTTCAAGCCATTGTTGCCACCGTATCCACGCTACTCAAGGCGTTATGCTCTACACTCTGCTTCAAGCATTTGATAGCAAGTATACATCAGCCTCACTGAGCAAGCCCCATAAAGTCTGTATTCTCAATTGGCACGACAACTTAATTTGACGCTGCAGCTGTCTTTATCACTGAGCGGCATGGACACCGAATAAATCTCGTGGTCAATCCTTTACTTAATGGACTATTTCTATGGGCAAACTTGTCTAATAATAGCTAACTATAAATGACCACTATTTATCTCTTTCTTCTATCCCTAATGCCAAATCTATGACTTTCTATTGCGTGCCGACCCCCAAATATGATGGTTCTACTTGATTTGACTAGGCTCAATGTAGACGTCCTCTCTTGGTTTCCGATTGTTGCTCTTT